GGAAAAGCTGCGGACGATACTGTGCAAACGGATTTGCAAGAGGAAATTGACAAACGTGGTGATATTCTTTACGTTGATTCGATTGATACCTACAGGAATAACACTCGTAAGGTAATATCATTAATTCTGCGTCTCTGGAGAATTGTTCATGTGTTTCCGATAGCAAAAACATCGCTTCAATTGAAAACAGTAGCGTTTTTTTTTAGTTTGTTCATTCAATACTCTTCGGTTTCGAACCGGGGAATGGATGTCAGTCCCCTGAGTTCGTGCTCCTGATCGACGACGATTACATGGTGCACATTGGTGGGCTCCTTCATCATCTTTCCGAGGAGAACCACTCACTTCACGTAAGGTTTTCTGCCATTTACGATGTCTCGAGGACACATTTAGCGCTGATTGTGCGTGAGGGGTCTGTCGCATCGGTGCAAGATCCACTTCGAAGAAGGGCGGATTTCGCTAACTCATTCTGCCCATACGATCACTGGGGGGTGCCTTCAAGCAGTTCATCTGATATTTCTCTGATATTTCTGTAATGTGGCATCATTACCGAAGGCGACAGTTGTCTTTCCGTGGAGTTATTGCGAATTATTTTAATTCCAGCTGTATGAAGGGTGGATGTTCAACACGTCACCGTTCCGATTCCGCCTACATAAGCATTCGGTTCGTGTTCTTAGCTATTTCAAAGTTCTTGAGATTTTTATGTCAGGGTTTCTGTTAAGGTGTCACTGAAATTGTATCCCTTTGATCGATATCCACCGTATATATCAGCTGGAGCAGTGTTGATGTCACGAAACACTGTTGCTCACTTCTACTATGCATTGCAGTTTGTCAGGGTGAGTTTCCTTGAAATTTCTCGGGTTTTTCAACAGTATTACGGTTCCGAGAGTATTCCGAAGGGAAATTATGAATAAAGAGTAGAGGAAATTTTATATTCGAAAGAATGCAAAGGAAGGGAAGTCAATAAGCACCTGAGGGAAACGACAAGGAAAGGAATGTAAAGGGTCAAGGGTACGAGCCGATGTTCAAATTAATGTTTTATGTTCTCATTCATGTGAAGTAGCTGTGAACTTCGAGACATATTTAATTCGAGCGATCCAGAAGGGATCTGATTCTGAGCAGCCTCGGTGTGCTGCGCCTTTAAGGCAGACTCCGCACTTGCCGATGTGTGGGTTGTTTCGCCAAATTTGTATATAAATGTGGTAATTGATGGCAATGCAACGGATGGGTCAAATGATGCCGCTAAACATCATCAGAAGCGAATTGCATAATGATAATATAGACCGAGATTGAGCCCTTTTCATTTCAAACCATTCTCTGTGATGTATTGGGTACGATGTAGAGGAGGGACCGTCCAGTGATCTGCCTGTAATCTCCGCTCATATTATCGGCGTACAGTGCTCTTCTGGTGGTTGATTGCAGTTTTTGTCCCCTTTGGGCGATGTCATAGTTTGCGAATCGAGCGATTCGCTAGCGAATCGCTGGATCCGAGCGTTGCGCCAGCGAATCGAACGTTGCACCAGCGAGTCGAACGATGTACCAGCGAGTCGAACTAGGTACCAGCGACTCAATAGTGGCGGGACCCAACGTTTAAAGGAAGCCCGCCACTTTCAAACAGTGTCCACTGACAGTGGACACTGTTTGAAAGTGGCGGGCTTCCTTTAAACGTTGGGTCCCGCCACTATTGAGTCGCTGGTACATCGTTCGACTCGCTGGCGCAAAGTTCGATTCGCTGGTGCAACGTTCGATTCGCTGGCGCAACGCTCGATTCGCAAACTATGACATCGGCCTTATTGATGTTCGGCAAATTACTATATCTGCTTACTATTCTGGTGCCATAAGCCATCCTTAAGAGGACGCAGAATGTTCCTTCCGAGCAACAACCAGACCAAGTTGGTGAGGTAAAGCAGTCGATAATGAAATGGTGGATGCCGAGATAGAAAATGAAAGAAGGTGGAGTAATGCACTTACGAAGCACTTGAAAGAGGACTCTCTCTCTCTTACCTATGAATTGAGTTAGGGGGGGGTTGGACGAGTTGTTAGAACTTGCTTGCTCCATGGCTCCACAAGGACGGCGGTCATAGATCACGATTTGAGTGATTCAGTCACTTGGCGATGGAGTGATTACGCTGAAGTGAGCGCATACGTATCGACCGAAGCGTTGCCGGTGTATCACATCAACAAACGGTCAGGGCGGGGTCAACCTCATCAATGCGCTTTCCGCAGACCAGTCCTTTCGCCTTATATGCCAGCAATCGTGGCAGCATAATCGCAAATTGCGGAAGAATGGGGGGGCTAAAAGCAGGGCTAACCCCGCGCGTATATTAGCTGGTTGTCACGCCGTAATCTTTTTGCGTGTCTTGGTGCGTATACGAGGTATCTCGTCCATTAGCTTACATAGCCGTCACTAGCTCACTTTGTGAGGCCACAGCTCCAGCACTTCCGAGCCGCGAAAACGGGACAACTGTGATACTTGCGTGCAACCTATTCTCTTCACAGAATAGAGTTCCACACGACCTCTATCTCACCATTTATGTGGTTGTTACTTGAACTAACCGCACCATCTGCACTCGGGAAAAAAGGAAGTACTAGTCTTCATGTGTGCAAGGGTGTAGACTGATGAAGGTAATAGCGAAGTTATTAGCGTGATGCTTTCTAACGCGCTATCTGCTGCGCTTCTAGTAGAAAAATCTGAAAGCAATTGGAGATGTTTGTTCAGATCTATCCCTTCGATGATATCTACGCTGGAATTCTGGCATATCTCTTACAAATTCATCCACGACATAATGAGGCATTTGTATTCTGGACTCGAACCATAAATGCTGAAGAATGGAAACGTGGAGATGTCTTGGTTGCTCACGGATATTCTCCTGATCAGATGATCCATGAGTATAACGATGCGCTGCGTTTACTGTAGACTTCTGCAGTGGTGAAAACAGGGTCTATTCCAGTTAGGGGGGCATCATGATGCAGTTTCTCGGCGAGCTAATGTAAACTCGAACATTCCAGCTTCTCACGCATGTCAAGTGACTGCCCTCACCCCCCACCCCCCTAGGCTGGCTACACTCCCCCTGGCTCAGAGTTACCGTAGCTTTTTGGGAGTCACCGCACCATGATGCCCCCCTCCCCTAACTGGAATAGACCCCAAATGAACGCCTCGATTAAATTTATGGCGCTGGTGAGAAGTCGGGCAAACCCTCACACGTGCATCAGTGAAGTCATCGTCTAACGCTCCCGCCCCCCCCCCCTCCCCCTATATCGTCTACTCCTTTCTACCAATGACGATGCTTTTTCACTGATTGCGTGTACATCTCTTGCCCGCCTCTCAGCCAGCGCGACCCTTTCCTTTAAGTTGCCATTCTCACGGGTTTTCTCCATCCTAGGGTCTATAAACCCATATCATATTCCTTAGAATTTATTGAATTGATTGCATTTGCTTGATAGCTGTTCATAATAGGCTGTGTACATCTGTTGGTACCATTTTGTGTTGTGGCTGTTTCATTTCTTTCGATAGTCGTCACTTGAGATTTTTATCTTCGACTAATCTATTATGTACGAAGTTATTAGGCTGGTTTACGAGATCTGCGTGCATTCTTTCGACCATAATGTATGCGGCGAAAGTGTCCCTCTTACAAAGCGCCGCTGGTACCCGACAAGAGGCTTGTTGCCAGGGCGAGAAGTCGGATGACGTTTCTACGGTCATCGGACGAGTCACGCGCGTTCTTCAATGGTTTCGGCTCAAGAAATTGAAATGAATGTCCAGAGTACGTTCCATATATCATACAGCATGCGCTGCGATTCGTCCGCTGACCCGTCTGCGTTTCTGCCCTTCACGCTACGGGGCAGGCCTCTTGTCGGGTACCCCACGCTGCTGTTACTGGGTAGACCCACCCTTACGCATTTCCATCACTGTTTTGGATATGTTCAAAAAAGCGTTATAAAAGCTCAAAGCTGTATTGCGTGGTGTTCATACGTCGGTGCTAAGTGGGGGGGGGACCACGCGGCGGCGTGGCACTCTGCTTGCCTGGCATGTTTACGTACCTCGGGAAATCCTTGAGTCAGGGGGAACGTAGTAAGTCTAGGGGTTGGTGGGTGAGGGCAGTCACTTGCATGCGTGAAAGGCAGGAATGTCCGAGTTTACACTATATCGCTCGAGAGAGCGCCAGGCGAGCTGAATGCCGCGCCGCCGCGTGGTCCCCCCTAACCAACTTAGCAGCCTTTCGTCAACAATGGAAGGGTATTAGAAAATATCTCTGCTTAAGATTCATTAGCGAAATTCGTAATTTTTATTCTAATGCTACCCTATTCTCAGCTGTAAATGACCTCTCTTCGAAACTCCGTAAATTAGTGAAGCCTTTATTTCGCCACTGGCTCATGCTGTCGCGCGGTCCGCGACAGCATGAGCTGTATCGAAGGTGGTAGAGGTGGTCGTGATGAAGAAAAAAGCCATGAGAAACGGCGAAAAGTGCGTGACAATGGCGCTAGGGTCTTATAAAGTGAGCTAGTGATGGGTAATGTGAGCTAGTGGACGGCACACCTCGCGCACACTTCCGTGACACGTAACACTGGCATTCGCAACTTCCTTAAACGACCATGTGTGCTGAGCGGTTATCACGAATCGAATTCAACGCAGTGCTTAAAGGAGGATTGCACGGAAAGAACGAAGGTCGAAGAAGGGAGAAATCGCCTAGTGGGGAGAGCGGTGAATCTCTTGAGGGTGCGGACAGACACGCAATCGGCATCGAAAGATTTGACCTCTGAGATCTAGCATGGCTCAAAGTTGGCGAGTTCGGCGATCTCCGCCCACCGATCGTCTGATCACTCGCCGTAGTACAATAGTGGCGAGTGATTAGATAGCTGAGAGAGCGTAGGGTTGAAGAGGGCAAAGCGATGAGAGTCCATCAATGCTCAAATCAACGGGCAAGGAAGGGGTCCCATTTCTCGGTTCTGGGCCGTTTCGTGGTTTCGCTTTCTTTCTGGTACTACTCACCATCTCTACCTCAATTTGGAATGGGTTGCTTTTCCATCGTAAATTCGTCCTTTAAAGGACAAATTCACGATGAAAAAGCAACCCATTTCAAATTAACCTAGGGATGGGATGAGTGGTACACGAAAGAAGGAAGAACCATGAGAAACGGTCCAGAACCCGAGAAATGAGCAGTCATCATTCCTTGCCCAGTGACTTCCGCATTGGCGACTCTCACCCAGGGTCAACCGTCCGTTCGAACTGTTCGAACGAGGGGTCGCATTTTGGTCGAAGGGGGTCGCAATTTCGGAGGACTGCCAGCCACAGGCGTATCCGAGGGCAAGACTTGCTTGTGCAGACCGCATTAGATTCGATTTATTATGCACAGAGAGACAGTTTTAGGCAAATTACAGTGTTTCTTAAGGAATAAAGAACAGTTGGATGCATCCCTATGAAAGGTTTGACTTCTCGGGGCTGAAAACAATTGACGGTTTGGTGCTTGTTAGAAAGAGCAAATCCTGTACTTTCACCCCATGAAAAAAGTGCATCACAGAAATGAAAATGAAGTGAGTTATGGTCGCTGAAAGCCCAAAAACTCGCTTTTGCACGAAAAATGTTCGAACGGGACAAATTTTTTAAAAAAGGGGACAATCACTAAACTTTTTATACTGTTTGTAGAGAAATATTGAAGTTTCTGAAACTTTTTACAGATTTCCAAAATGTCGCATACGAAAGATTTTATGGGCCTTCAAAGTTGAAGGTGCGCCTTCTTAGAATTTTGGGTTTTCCACTTCTAACAGAAGTACTTTCCGGAGAGTTAGGCAATCCTTGTAGTTTTCTGGAAGCGCACCTCAGGCACAATCAAAATCTACCTCAACAAGTCAAAAAAATACGTCCCAAGAAAGTTATTCCCCTCTAAAATTTTTTCTTCGCCGCGTCCCGTTCTTCCAGCGTCCCGTTCTTCCAGCGCCCGGGTGATACCTGCCGCGCTCCAAGGCTGACGCCGCAACGCAGACGCTTTCTGGCGCTTCTGGCGCAACGGATTCATGTCTAGCACTCTTATTAACAAAAACAGGGGGTCGCAACTGGACCCCTCGAGAGCTAGGGGGTCGCAAAAATCCCGAAAATGTTCGAACGTGACGGTTGACCCTGCTCTCACCGGTGCTGCCCTTTTCAACGCCTACGCTCGCTTGCTAAACGGCTAGAGACCTGCGGCGAGTGGTTAGCCAGTCGGTGGGCGTGCCGCGCGATAGCGGCGCGGGGATGGCCATGCTAGATCGCCGGGCATATCCTTCGCTGCGAATTGCGTGTCGGTCTGCAACCATAGTGGTTCCGCCTGTCCTTCCACAAGTTTCCCTTTCTTCCACCTTCGACCTTGTAGTGGAATCCTCTTTTAAGGTTTTAGTGTATTCGTAACAGTAGTCATAATGAGTACAGAAATAATATCGATAAAATATTTTATATCACTTTTCATCATCAAAATAATCAATGCGGGCGCCACTTTGGAATTTGTTCTCCTCGAGGTGTTTGAGCATTTTCTCAACTGTTTGCGTTGTAGTCAAGCAGGAACGATGAGCGTCATGGGTAAGTGAAGTGTTCTGCGAGAATACGGCTCGTATTCCCTCGTCGAATGACCTAAACTATTAGTTACGCCCTAATAATTCTACAAGTAAATGGCTCAAACTCACTGTTTCGCAACCACATCGTGCATTGCTGTGTCAACTGGCCCTGGCGCGTAGTTGAACACCTTGACAGTCTGATCTTCGACTGCTAGACCGCGGAAAAACGCTTCACGAGCTGCTTTTCCCACAGAGTACTGTAAAATGATTCAAATAAAATTAAATTAGCCCATTCCGTTAGGTTTGTCAGTATGATTATTTGCGGTATTGAGCCATTGTGTGGTGGTGGTCCCATAGCTAGAGGACGTCCTTCATTAATTCGATAGCAGCAAGATTACCCTGACCTTAACTCTCGAATTACAAAGTTCTACTTTTTACACACGATCGATTTTAACCATCAGACTTTTGGGGGTGTTTCGTAGAACTTTGGCATATGTAGGGATTCTTAAGAGATGGATGGATCAACGTTGAGAATAATAGGCGCTATCCATATGCCGATGCGTACGATCTTGCGAAGCATACTCAATCGGCGGCTAAACAGGCGATTTGGTGTTGAAAGTGTCTTTAAGCTGCGTAAGCAGAGGATAGAGAGAGTCCAGGATATCAGCCATTTTCTATCTCACCCGAAGTTAGTGCCCCTTCGCTTATCGTATCTAGAGGATGCCCCACGTTATATGGCGATAACGCCAAATATAATTTTTTATTTTTTTTGGATGCATTGATTTTTATGATTCAGCATATAGAGGCATTTAAAGGCAGATCATACGATAATATAGTCGCTCGCTGATAAAAGTAGAGCTGCTACGAGGCAGAACACGCAGAACTGGACAGATTTTTCCCCGTTGGACGAGTTTAATCGGTATCAACCCGAACGGCTCCGCCCCTTATCTCGATACGCTAGGAGTCATTAGGCAAGGCCGCCAGCATAAGGGAAAGGCGGCGATCGCGTGGACGTGCGACGGGCCACAACGTGTAATGGCGGCTTTAAAGGAATCTTCCACGGAAAAAGCTCCGCCCTCATTACCACAGAAAACGATACCTTAAAGGAATCTTCCACGGAAAGAGTGATCATTTTGTCTTGTGTGTAGGATTAGTATTATCGAAACTAACGCTTATGTTCCGTTCTTTTTGCTATGCTCATGAGGCTAGGGGCCTAAGGGGTATCGTTTTTCTGTGGTAATGGAGGCGGAGCTTTTTCCGCGGAAGATTCCTTTAATCTGTTAAGTCGATACGGGCGTACTTTTGCAGCAGAGCGCTACCCGTATCGCTTCCTTATGAACCTTCCTCCCTTCATAGCAGATAAATTTCCCTCGTTCGACCCACAATTTATCGCAGCTTCTGCCTTAATTAAGGTGCGTCGGTGAAATACCACTCACATCAAAGATTTTTTTTATCTCTGCGAGATCATTCATTTGATACCGGTAATACCTAATTAGTAGGAGACTGAGAAAGGTATGATAATAGCGCTTAGGAGGTTGCTCTTTGGTTAAGTACTTAGACACCATGGGTTCGAATTCGAAAGCAGGACAAATTTCAAATGACCATGGACATTTTGGATCAGTAAACCAGTGCTCTTAATTTTGGAAATGGACATTACTAAACTTCTGGCCGGATGCTTTATCCTTCAACATTTATTAAAGGAATCTTTCGCGGAAAAGCTCCGCCTCCATTACCACAGAAAAACGATACCCCTTAGGCCCCTAGCCTCATGAGCATAGCAAAAAGAACGGAACATAAGCGTTAGTTTCGATAATACTAATCCTACACACAAGACAAAATGATCACTCTTTCCGTGGAAGATTCCTTTAAGGTATCGTTTTCTGTGGTAATGAGGGCGGAGCTTTTTCCGTGGAAGATTCCTTTAAGTTTGCGTGATCTTGTTAAACCATCCGAATTACGCTTTTCTAATCGGAGAACGTTCCTCAAATAGCATTAATGTCATTCTCTTTTTACAATAATCCTGTGCTGCCAATCGTTCGCTTCACATCCCTTTGACGTCAACATCGTGAGCACTGTAGACAGGGAAATGTTATCGGCCAACGCCTTCGCTGGAGGCAGTAACAGAATACAATTGACTTCGAGCGCCCTGCAGAATTTTGAAGAGATGATTGTTGAAGAAGCGTTCAATATTGAACGTTTAAAAATATTCTGCTCCTGAAGGGTAATGACACTAGCTGAAGTAATCGACAGTTTTAAACGCTCCGTTGAAGGTGATGATTGCGCTTGGCTAACTACATATAAGGAGACCAACGTGCGTCAACGTTACATTGCCAACTGCCGAGGCCGCAAGGTGACGCTGATTGTGGCGGGGAATAATCCATTGCTTATTCATAGATCACTATTGATAGACCGAACAACGCGAGAACCTTTGAACTGCGAAAACTTCAAGTGTACCAGCAAAACGCCAGGTGTGACTTTTAATCGCACGCTATGCACTGTTGAAAAAAGCAACGGTGGGATTGGGCAACGTCCTTTAAATGGTGGCCAGGTTTCTTCTCGTGAAGAAAATCGCATTCATCACGAGTATGTACAGAAAAAAACCAGGTCAAAATATAGTAAAACTGTATTTGTTCCATAAATGTGCTATTTTGCTGATTAAGTAGAACTTACTGTCGAAAATTTAGGCGGTTATGTTTGAATGGAGCAGTGTCCAGCTTGATATGAAAAAAAAAACACCGCCTCACTTTTAAGAATTACCATAGGCATTTGCTAAAGTGGAGGAATTGAAAAAAATATCCACGGTCATCCAAAAAAAGTCGGGTCAATTTGAAAAGGGGTTCTGATGTTTTGGAGGGTGCCACTATTTATTTGAAAAATGTCCATTCCAAAGTGGAAATGGATCAATGCGTACATGTTCAATCCTGAGTAGTAGAGAATGCATGGCGCATCTCCAAGAAGCTGATTAACACCAAGCGCTATATGGTCCCATCACAGTCCAATTTTCGTGAAAATTCTGAGGAATTGCAAAAAAGTCCTTTATGCAGCTCCATTCCTTCTATCCCTTCCTATTAGACCAACCTATATTTCATATTCCCTATCCGCTATGCAGTGAGCATGAGACACATAGCTCATCACATGAAAACTAGATTAAAGCTAAGATTTCAAGCTAGAACGATGACAGAATTTAACTCACAGTGTATTAGGATGGAGGTGGACCGCCAGTGGAGAAAAAAGGAAAAAAAAATTCGTGAAATACACAGGAAATACGATCCTTTTGCTACGTTGCGGCGAAGTTCAAAAGGCCGGCAGGGAGATGAGAGATAATGTGAGCGCGGAGAGCGGTAGAGAAATCCGAGAAGAGAGAGCATAGCAGATCAGCATTGCGATGCAGACAAAATATCGAGCGGTGGGCGGAGCGTGTCGCAACAGGAGGAGCGTGTCAAAGTCCTTGGCCCCCAGCGCCTTATGACCTTGTCGAGCGGGGTTTGCGATCGCTTACGTTCGCCCTGCGTTATAGCCACTTAGGATTTAGGTGGGTCTAGCCCTAGACTTTTGCCTTTAGCTATCATAGCGGAGCCAAATCGTGCTGGAATTTACTGACTCATTTGTCATCGAATAATAATCACTTTGCAAAGACCCTTTTTGTGGAATGCTCTGCAGTAGTAGTTTGTGCTTTGACAGCTGCCGATACATCGGCAGAAGTGTTATTAAAAACGGCGCCATGAAGTGGTGGTTGACGTTTCAGAAAAAAAATCATAATGCGACTAAATGCGTGAATTACACTGCTTCTGCACAGCTGTTTCTCCCTGGCAAGACACGGCCAACTGACGGGTTCTCAACAGATTTTAATGGTATACATTTCTCGGAAATTCTCTTCAACAAAGAATTCTTCATAACTTTATTATTCAGGAGAGCCTTGGGTGAAAACAGTTGCTGCACCAGTTTGGTGCACTTTGGGGTAAGAGCGGTAGATATCGAAAGTGTGTATGCCGAGTTGACTGAACATAAAAAAGAGAGGGGAAGCACTGTCGAATCTCTGAGCAACAAAACCCCTTTCTGTTCCCTTGAGGTGAGAGCGCGGTGCCGCTGGACGAGTTCTCTAATGCCCTTGCCTCCCATGGTCACGCTACGCCCGCAAGTATATAATAATTAGCTTTCACGGGTGATGCGCCAGCGTATCTCTTCCACTAGCTCTCATTTGCTCTCACTAGTTCAATTTGTAAGGCTCTGAGCCCTTTCGTTGCGCGGTTTAGAGTCGTTCTATAATACTTGTAGGCACCTCTTACCCACAGAACAGAATGTTCCATATGACCTCATCTGGGATTGTTGCTTTGAATAAGCCCCATGAAAGCAGTCTCAATAAAACATTTTCTTCTCCATCTCACCCCATTTTAAAAGGGTGCGAAGGGTCCTCACCCCATTTTAAAAGGGTTGCGAATGGGCGAATTCCCAAAAATTGTTGACGCAATTCCGTACCTGTGTTAAAGAAGGAAAGCCTTGAATGGCGACTAAAGACGTGATATTTACAACGAATCGTTGTTTGGCAACCTGAAAAATACGCCTTGAACATCTCCTTCAGCGATCCAGCGCGAAGTTTTTGTTACAGTACCTCTTTCGTGATTGAATTCAGTAATAGATTATTGAATTGGACCATAGCGACGAGATTTACACTAAGGAAGTTCTGCCATTGATCCGGATTACTCAATTCTGTACTTCGTTTTGACACATCACCAACAGTGCCACAGTTGTGGAATATAAAGGCGCTGTCGAATGGACCCGTTTCTGAAAAAAAAACCGGTGAGAAGATTTCTATTTCACATTAAAGTGGAAGGACGAAAGTTCCGGTGTTGATCAATCGTTTCTTGGGATGCGCCACGCATTCTACTTCCATTTGTAATTCGTGTGGCAATTCGAATGCGCGATGTACAAGTCAGTGTTTTTATCCTCCCAGACAAGTCTGGTACCAATTAACCGACCCCGGAGGGATGGAAGGCTTGGTTGGCCCGGGCGACTCACGACCCAGGATTTGATCCCCGGACCGCTCGCGTGGTAAGCGTGCCACTTGCCACTACACCACTTCCGCCCTTTTTCACATAATTACCATTTTCACTCCTTTTTTCTTTGCTACTGCTCTCGTTTCGGTAGTCCCTTTTGTCTAAAATAGTGTACGACTACTAGTATAACCTGGCGCATCTGTTATATGCATCGCTAAATAAACATCCAAATTTCCAACGGTGAAGGAACAGTGGAGGATGCGCCACGCATACGATTTTTATATTAGATTTCCGCTAAGAATCGTGAAAGATGTTAGCACCGTTATTGTGTTTCTCCACTGAGTCGAACCGGGAATTCCCGGGCTATGCGCACTGTATGCGGCACAATCTCCTACACTACTACTATCCCCGGGGTAGTAACGATCATTAGTAATCATTTCAGACAATGCAGTAGGATGAATCTTGTCAATTCTGACGCCACATTATGAGTTACAACCGCTGGGGCCGTGGGAGACGGTTGCGACTAGCACCAGCCGTAGGCCGATGTCAGACTTTGCGAATCGAGCGATTCGCTGGCCGCGACGCGACCGCGGACGCTAGCGAATCGCTCGATTCGCAAAGTCTGACATCGGCCATACTCTGCGTTTCTGATTCCAGGCAGCGCGACCCGTCAAAGAGAGCCTCAAGAGGAGAGGGCTACAGCTAAAACATCACGCGTTTAATGGGGTCCTATGACGCAACCCTGTCTCCCCCATCTTTAGGATAGAACCAGCGGTGAGGACGCTTCCCATGGGGAAACCGTAGTATACGGTCCCTGATCCAGCTCCATTATATCTTTGTGTTCAGCTCTGTACTCGCCTAAATCATGATGGAGTCCAAAACAAAAAGAACAGTGCGCTCTATCGGTTTTTCAATCAGTTTTATCAGATATTTTGATAAGATACTTCGAAACGAAAAGGATCTAGAGATAAACTCACCTTTGATTTCTTCAAGAACCTCTTTAAAAGTGTTAATCGCATCGTCGTTAAACGATCCCATATCACAGACAACTATCCATACTTGAGCTTTTTCTGAGCTAAAATGACAGCGGATAACGCTTACAATAACATTTTTGTGAGACTTTCTGAAAATATGTATAGTTCAAGGCATCATTAAAAATCGGAAACTATTATATAATAAAAAAAAAGGAAAAAAAATCCGGGGAAATTACCTGTTCAAGAATACCCTGCTTGATTTGTAATAAGGTAGCTTCATTACGAGCTGTGAGTAGAAAGACTGAAACAAATGTTTATTTGAAGGTTTCTGCGATGAAAAGGCACCAAGGTGGAAATTAAGTTAGAG